TTTTTTTTTTTTTTTTCAAACGGCGCAAAAGGATTCTATAGATGCAAAGAGAACCAGGAGAATCCGTGCCATCAGATGAAATGCCCTCTCTTTGAAGAGCAAGAGAAAGGCCGACTTAGCGCACTTCACAGGGTTCAACCAGATAGTTAGGAAACCCACGTAGGTTCCCATTCGCCCGGAACTCTCAACTGGGCGGCCGGAGCAGCTAACACTTAAACCTGACGGCTGCACACACTCCTCATGCCACTACTTTGTCTATGATCCACTCTGCTTATAGTCCACACTGTAAACATCCATCAGTGTCACAGGGGTGGACAATGCTAGGACACATGTGACATTCAGGGCGGCCCCACTGGCCAAGTAAAGGAGGAGGTGAGTTCCTGTTCTGCCACTCGGGGTAGAACGTGAAGTCCCCACCGAGCGGCTCTTCGGGGCTCAAGGCCTCACTTTCCTCTCCACGGTCTCGGTCATCTGCTCCGGCCGTTCTAGCCCCCCGGGGGACATGCTAAGTGCAGGCCTAGCCCTGGGGCTCTGACCTTGCTCTTCTCGGATGTATCCTCAGAACTGGCTACCCCATCCATTCAGGTGTCTACACAAATGTCACCTTATTAGAGAGAACTGCCCTGATGCTGTCACTTAACGGTCACTCTTGCCTTTCACTATGTAGCCCCCTGTCCATTTTTCTTAGTGCGTATCACCACGGGACAGACCTTTTTCTTTCTTGCCACTCTCCCCTACTAAAACGTCAGTCCGTTGAGAGCTGGAGTATGGTCTGTTTCGTTCACTGCTCTGTCCCTACGGTGATACCTGGTACATACAGGCAAGTGACAAGTATGCTACCTGAAAGAATGAATCAGTCTTGCCCGGCGAGCTCCATCTTATCCTATATAAACCATCCTTGGAGCCACAGTCCCTACGCAATCAGTGCGTATGCAAATCCCTACGCAATTTGATCAGATCAAATGATGGCTTTGGTTGTGCCTCTTTTCAGAAAATGCAGGAGTGATTCACACTTCACTTCTGCCAGTTCCTTTTCCTCTTCAATGAATTTACACCCTGAGACATTAAAAAGTCCAGGCCTCAGTGGGAAGACACATGAAGACTAGAGAATAAATATCACCCCCTATCAGTGCAAGGTCGTTCCGTTTCCAGCATGTTCCCTGCTGATCTGGATAGCCTCTCCTGCCTCCATTTTGATTAGGAAAGCTCCCTCCGTGAGGCGTCTGGATGCCTCAGTCGGTAGAGTATGTGGCTCTCCATCTCGGGGTGGTGAGTTCGAGCCCCACTTTCGGTGTAGAGATTGCTTAAATAAACAAACTTTAAAAAAATTAAAAAAAAAGAGGAAACTCCCTCCATGCCCACTGTTTCCAGAAGCCTGGAGATTTCCCAGGTGACTCCCGGATGTAGACCCTGGGATACGAACGGGTCTCGTAGGTAACAGGGGCTCACCGCTGCCGTCCCGGATTTTTCATCCCACTTTGCATTAATGAGAACCTGCCTCACTGGTTCCGGCCTGACCCCAGTTTACCGGTTCTTTGGGCCAGTTTGGGGGGCATTGCCCAGGTTAACAAAGGGAGGTCTGGTCTAGGGATGGAGGTGGCCCAAAGGCCTGGTACACTCACCTCGTGGAATGAACATAGTGGGGACTCCGGACCCGCAGGTCTGGTGTGGACGGCATGCTGGACTGGGAGTTCCAGTGAGGGAGGCTGCGGATGGGGCTGTTCTGGAGGGAGCTACTGCCCCCGCCTGCTTCTGCACAGCTGCCCGTGCTGGGGAATCGCTTGTGAGTGCTGCAAACCAGAGGATGCCAGGCTGGTCACGGCCACACACGACCGCACCTCTTCCCGGGGAGCTGCCCGGCCGCGGACCCCAGCCTTGGTGTCGGGAAAGCTCGCCTGGGTCTGCCCCCCGCCCCCAGATTCCTATTCTGGCTCTCAGCCTTCGCCCCAGTTGTGGGGGGGGGG